CTGGATGTGAAGCATCAAATCTCAAACTTGATCCAACACACACATAAACAAGCGTGGCCTGTGGAGATAATAAATCATAGTGAGACCATGTGTTGACACTGAAAGTCCCCCAGTAACACATGGACCAACCGAAGCTCTGTTCACGCTGTCTGTACATGCTGCAAGTCAAATATAGACCTGCAGCAGGATGACACCTGAGCCCCTGCACACAGTCTGAATTCCTTTATCTCGAAAGACAAACATATGGATTTATACAACGATACAGTGTGTGTCTGCTCATACCGAGAATAACACATTATCTTTGCTCTCATCTCATCTTATCAGAGCAGTATGAACTCGTACTGTCTGCATTGTGGAAGTCTGGTGTCTGGGGGGTTGGACACTTCCCTCCACCACTGAGTCATAGTCGTTGCCTTTGCCACAGATTCTTATCTTTGAGCCATTCATGCGCAGGAGCAATCTGTGTGTGGATGCCAACATTTTCCAATGACTATAAATTAAAGCAGATCAGGGTTTAAAAAAAGACTCCAACCTGAAGATGGAGTTTCCCTGAGCATCAGCACTTATTTTCACCCTTACTTCTCTAAAGGTGAATTTGCAAACAAAGTGGAACTTAATCAAACAATTTACTGCAACTAACTATTGTTTTCATTATCAATCAATAATCTGACTGTTAGTTGATTCAATATATGGTCTATAAAATGTCAGAAATGCCCATTATATTTTCCTAGAGCTCAAGGTAATGGCTACAAATGTCTTGTTTTGTTTGAACAACAGTTGAAACCCTAAATATGTTTAGTTTACTGCAATGTATGACAAAATATGGATCAAATAATCACATTTTAGCAGCTAAAACCAGAAAATATTTGGCTCTTTTGCTCTTAAAATTATTAAAAGGATACTTTAACACAACTTTTTTCACACCTGCAGTAGCCCTCCCCCAGTCCTATAAACACACCTTGGTGTGTAAAATCAGGTGGAGTTCCTTTCCTTTCAAGTTTCAGCTCTGCTCTTTAACTAATGTGTTGATTCAAATACCATATTTATAGTTTTTGTTTTATTAAGTGTAGCTTATTATTATTTGTTACCAGTTCCACTGCTGAGTGCAGCTCTGTCCAATTCACATTCAAGTTCCTAAAGAGTGGGCTTTGCCATATACATTTTTGAATCATCAGCATACAACTTTTTGCACATTTTTACTAAAGTTAATGGTCGCTACTTTGGAAAAATAGTCAATTATAATGGTCCCAGACAGCTTCCTTGAGGTATACCACAACTAGTGGATTGTACACTTAAAAATGTGTCATCAAAAATTTTGCCTAGAAACAATCTGTGATCAGGTGAATCAAACACAGCTCTACCAGCAAGAGGCACATTTTGAGTTGGAGCAGTTATTGTTGAAACTTTTTCCCTGTTAAAGGTCACAGAAGCTCTTTCTAGTGTATTTCAGCCTTTTAATGAATGATTGGTTCTTGTACTAACACTGCCCCATTCCAGAAGAAAATATTGGGATTGTTTCTGCAAACCACAAATATATTACATTTGAAAATTTCATGCAGTCAGGAAACTAGTTAGTTTTTTTCTCATCCTTTTTTGGTCAGAACAGCTGTGTTGTTTTGATGTTAATAGTCTGGAGATTTGTCCTTCACAGTGTTCTATGAACTTTGCACAGAGAAACCCGGCGTACCCTCTGAGGTCATAAAAAAAGACCTGCATGATGGGAGACTCCTGTGTCAGTTAAGTGACACGAGAGTGATTGTACTTGGCCGGGATCACAGGACATTTTTAGACCCGAGTGCTTCTCTGATACGCTGCCAGGAATAGTGCAGCTTTGGAGGGCAGGCAGGACAGATCATGCACTCTTTAAATCAGTTGAGGTCTGAAGACAGGAATAATGTCTTTGGTCCTTTAAATGCCAAAACATTTGTCCTGGTATTTTGCCCTAAATGCTTCACATACAGCTATGTAAATATTTGACTTTCCTGTTTGAACAGAAAGATTATCTTACAACCAGAACTGGACTGTAACCAGACTTTGTTGCATCTATTCTTAGTTGACAGTGTTCACGTTGCAAAATGTTCCGTACGTATCATTTCAGGGAAAAGTCAGTGAACCAGTGCATTTATTGATCCTTCTCACAGGTCAGCAGTACCTTAAAATATATTTAAGGTCCAAAATTATAAATTATATGAAAATTATACAATAATTTTTTGTTACAAGGGATTTGTGGCCCTGGTTTTGGATACCTGGTCCTAATAAAGTAAAATTTGGTGAATTCAATTTTTTTTACATATATATTTCTTCCAGCACGGTCGTTTGTCCAAAAACTTTCAAAGCAATATGTTGCATTTAGATAAAATCACACACAGACTGCAGGGCAACATTAAAGCTCTGTCCTTGCAACATTTGTAGCATGAACAGACTGAATCTTTTACAACGTGCTGAGACGTTTAGAAAATGTCTGTTAAAACAGTCAAGCACAACTTTAAAATTTAATAGCAGCAGGTGGACTGCTTCATTAGTGTTCCATGTGGTAATTCTGGAAGGATGCCTAGCAAACTCTGCAGCAAGTTGGTGCTGACAGAAACTGGTAACATGCCAATGACCTGCTTTTAGAGATGTGTTGCATAAATATTTGGGTCAGCCAACTTTGGCTGCTGGTTCATTAATTAATTTACACGATTGTCGAACCATTACAATGGGTACAACATGCCTTTAACCATTACTTTTCCAGAAGTTGTTGACCCACATTCAAGCAGAGGTGAGGCATTATGTAAGCTGTATTAACAAATGTATTAATTGTTGCTAATCATATCACAGCTAAACAGATTAGTTTGGTAAGCAGGCTTAATGTGTTCCCTGACAAAGTTATAAAACAGCAGCTCTGCTGTGTGGAGAGGTGACAATAGCACTGAAGATCTGAGGTTTACTAAAAACACAGGCTAGTAATCATGGGCTTGCGTCAATCCTAAACATACTACCCAAATTCTTTGAGAGATTGGTATATAACCAACTGGGAGAAAATCCTCTAAAACTCAAACTCAAACTACTTTTAAGTACCGGTCTGAATATAGAACAGCTCAATCTACAAGCAGATGTTGGATCAATCTTTTTCATTATAAAAAAATGGAGATAATGAAAGTAAATTTAACAGGTATGGTCATGTTAGACTAAAACCCCTTTCCCACTGCACAAAAACCCACTAACATCCAATAACATCTGGCTTTTGTATTTAATGGGAAAGGTTACAATCAGCATTTACTCCCAGGACAGATATTATTTCGTTTCAGCTCGGATCAACTTTTCAGTGATGGAAATACAACACCTGGGTAGATGCGCTAATTCAAGCACCTTTACTAGCGCAATGCAACAAAACAAAAAAGAAAAACGTGTGTAATGTTGAACGTGACACACCATAAAACAATTTAAAAAACAAAAACGAAAAAAAAACAAAACAAAAAGGCATACTTGCCTACTGCAGTGGATCTGGCTACTGCCAACGGGAAAGCAGTCTAAGCAGTATTACAAAAGGCTTTTAATACTATTGATCGTGGTATTCTCTTCATAAAGTTGTTATGTATGGGCCTTAAAGACTGAGCAGTAAATTGGTTTAAATCAGGTGTGTAAAGTTGGTGAGGCCCTCTGCACAGTATGGAGGTCATGTGGGGTACCACAGGGCTCAGTTTTGGGACCATTGTTGTTTTTAAATGATGTTATTGATATGCCAGCAGCAGCAGCATCTAAAATTGTGCTTTGCACAGATTACTCTACCTTTACTGGTATCTGATAGAGACACCAGAGTAATACAAGAAACTCTTGTGCTGTGTTCACACGATGAGCCGCAGGCTACAAGTCATTTTCAGTGGAGGCCGGTGACATGAAGCTACAAACTGATGCCAGACACTTGTTGCACTATAAATCAAAGTTGAGCTGGCGTCAACTTTTTTCAGCGCTCCAATGACGCAGTGAAGCTAAACCAATCATATGTTCTTGTCTCTGGATGTGGCACTGTATCATTCAGCTTAGTTAGCTGACACTGTGCTAACTTTATGTTCATTGTGGTGCTCACAGGGATACGATGGGGTGGCAGAATGTGATGTTAAAATGGGGCTCAGACATAAAAGAAAAAAACTTTTTTATGACCAAGTACAAACTTTAGATGACGTTTAGTCGAGGTCCTTTGTGGCAAGTAGTAGACACACTGTGATGACATAACTGCTTGAAGAAGCGCTTCAATGGCAACTCTGTGATAACGTAGCTTGTCATGCTATTGCATTGTCACTTGTAGTGTGAACACAGCTGTAGTTGAGAACTGTCACTGGTAGAGACTGGTTAATTGTCTTTACATTTGGGGAGAAAGACAGTCCATTTTATTTGGCACTAAACACAGGTTTAAGAAAAGCAATGCAATTAACGTGAGGGAGAACAGGCTCTGATTGGAGGGAGAGCTAACCACGCCCACTTAGGAGACAGGAAGAGTAACCGTTTTCTTAACATTGGATAAGCCTACGGTGGGGTATCTCCTTTATCCAATATCTCTGGTTAAACAACTAAAACGTGACCATATGTTCGATGTAATTCACAAAACAGGCCCAGAATACCTGAAGCATGAAAATGACATGGTTGGAAGCTAACATAATTGCAACACTAATTTGCCATTCTGGGCTCTCCCTATGAAACAACCTGCTCCTGCTTAATAAACAAAGCCAAACAGGGGCAATTTTTTAATCATGGAGTTGTGGGGCAGGTTGATGGTTCACATTGGCGTGGAGTTGCAACGGTGACGAGTAGGTTTATAATGTAATATGTTTCTTTGCAGTGACTTGTATGTGTTATTTGTTGTTTTATTTGAGGACTGGAGTGTATGTAGTGATGCTTTTAAATGCTATCCTCTGGATTTTTTGTGTCATGATACTCCTTTGAGTTGTTGAGCTTTTAGATTCCTAATAAAAAGGAAAATATTTATAAAAATGTGTGTGATCAGTAAAACACAGTGTAAATGCTGATTCAAAGCATTTTATTTATTTATTATTATTATTCAGTGTAAAGTCACAAGAGGAATACAATGAAAAACTTTTTACATACTTGAGTTTTTTCCACACTTTTGGTCATAATAAAAACATACTATACATATGCAAAAAGGAAAAAATCATTGACTAAAAAAGTAACAAACACCATCGTCACATCTCCAGTGATGGACTATGTGATGGATGGTGAGCTGAGGGGGGGGGGGATGCTACAGAGGCTGGAGTCTATGAGGAAGCAGGTGGAGGGGTCGTTGTTTCAGACTTTCCACTTTCACTGTTTTCACTGACTTGTCTGTTCAAAACCATCTCCCTGGCGATGCAGGTCACCTGACCGTTGGCCACTGTGTAGGTTCTGTTCCTGCAACACAAAGGACGGTAAGTGTTTCCCAGAAAAACAAACTTTGCTGCACATGATTGAATTTGGTTGTGTTTGGATACTACAGCACTCACTTTTGATTTTCAGATCCGTTCTGCATGCCGGGCTGGTTCTGTTTTGCAAAGAAAAATGAAGTCCACCAGTGGCCAGAGTCTTGCCTTGGGAGTCCTGTGAGCAACAGGATAAAGTTTAGACAGGAACTTGGTTTGATGCAGACACTTTGAAAAATAAAACCTTGTCCTTTTTTTATACCTGGGTGGTGTGGAATGACCTCCCCAGTGTACTCGGCACTGCCACAGGAGCTGCTGCTGGAGTTGGATCCGAGACGCCCTGCAATAAAGAGACACACCCTTTCAGTGAAAGAACTTCATCTATGTGTATCTCATTACAGACGGAAATAAAAAATACTGGCGTCAGATGCAGAATGAAAAACCATCTGACTGAAATGAATGCAATATAAATGCATATAAGCCACGTCTGACTCACTTCTGTAGTAATCGTGGGTGGCGATGAGGGAGCCACTTGATGGAATTGCTGCCATTTTCTCCGACCTTAGGTGGAAAAACCGCTCAAAGATGGAAAATGGAAGCCTGGAGGAGAGACAAGAGCAGGTGTTATTAGACTGGAAATAAAATGATAAAATGGATGCTGTTATGCTCTCACAATCATTATCATTTATCACTATATCCTCTTGTCTTAAAAAGGCACTGCAGTCATCCCAGTTCAAAGGTGCCACTCAGGTATGACAGCTCATGTACACTGACTGCATTCACAACAGGTCACTCAGAACCAGTTCAGCTAAGCTTTAACTGCACATATTCATGCCCTCTGTGCTCCATTCTTGCACGTCTACAAGCCGTCACTGCAAGGCCATTAAGGAGAAGCAGCTGCTTCCAAGAATCTAGTTTCCCCATGACCCAAATATCCAGAGGGGTGTGTGTGAGAATATGTCCACATGTACAGCTGAACGTGGGTAGCTTTAGTCCACGTGTTGGCTGTGTGACCAGCTACAGGTCGTGCCAGTGTTCTTTCCTTGGAGGACACTAGGCCTACTACTGCGTTCAGCCAGGGAATTTTCTACTGCCAAAAAAGCCCCCAAATAACATTTTTTTCTCAATTCATTCACAGTGCAGCAACATATGTATATTAAATTATGCAAGAATAAACATTTACTTATATACTTGTGTATGTATTTTAAATTTGACTTGCAATCCAGGCTCTTAAATGCAGGATATGAAAACAGGCTGGAGAACCGGCTGAAGGCTGTAAAGCTTAACAACAGGTGAGCAGCAGATGGCTTTGGGGATTTCAAGGAGCTGGCAAAAAACCTGTCTGAACTTCATAGCCTAGATAAACATAATCACAACACTTGGCTATATACAACTGCCAGAAGGCAATTTCACCTATTAACTAGTGTTAGCTGCACATGTGTGGCCTTTCAGAGAAGTTAATTAAAAATTAAAAAACAGACACCTGTGGATGTAACAGGCAGGTATCATAACTACAGAGCAGGACTAAAATATTCCAGTGCTGGAAAAAAGTTAAATAAGACATTAAATTTGTTTTCATTACAAAACAGAGGAACTTGTAATCTTATAAAGTATTTTAACCTACCTTAAAGACTGAGATGTTGTTGTTGGCACCGGATGCGGTTGTAAGGTGCGGATGGCTTGATGTAGAAGAGGTGCTAGTTGTTTCAATGGCCCATTTGTGGATGAACTCTCTGTATTGACCCGACTCGGTCAATTCACCACTGCTGTCACTGACTGCTCTGCCAGGACCACAGGCTTTTATATGGTCTGGCCTCGGTGCGTGCTGCGGTGGCAAGGGGCGGGGACTGTGGCAGCTCGAGGACACGAAACGTGCAGTTGTGTTGTTTGTTACTGGACCCGATGACATCAGACAGAAGGAGGCTTTGGAGAGGCTTTAACGTTAACCCGTCAATGTCAAAGGCTTATCAGACAGCGGGTGAGTCTCAGGAGACAAACTGACACGAGTGTTAATCGATAGATACGTATGTTTTTATATGCGTTAAGCAACGTCACAAACATTAACGTGTTGTTTTCTTCATAATTAAGCTAGCTAGCTAGGGTACGTTTACTGTAATTCGTAAATGAGTAAACTCATGATTTCTAGACAGACAAAAAAATGATCTGTTTTAACTCTCGGGTCTATTAAGGTGAGCCAACTAACATTACACTGTACATTAAACTCCACTCCGCCTGTACTTTACACTATTCAATCTGTAGCACTCTAATTTCCGTGGCTTTAAATCCTATGGAAACTTTTTCTATAAACATCACTCCCTGGTGGTCTAGTGGTTAGGATTCGGCGCTCTCACCGCCGCGGCCCGGGTTCGATTCCCGGTCAGGGAACTGCTGTTTTTTTCCCCTCCTAAGTTTGGCTGTGATTACAACATTCAGGTCACACCACACGTTAAACACATATAAAGACAATAGATATAAATATATAAATTTCTATGTAAATTATATGACATCCTGATAATACTGAGGTATGTAGGTCTGGCAGCTCTTTTCCTGCTTTGATTTGATTTTTTTTCCTTTTTGTGTTTTCTAGTCTGTTGTAGTTGTTTTCGTTTTGCTTTGTTGTTTTTCATATTACTTGAATATAAAATTTAAAAATTTGAAAATAAAATATATTTTAAAAAAACTAATGTACTATCTTCCTGCATTTTCCTCTGAGTATCAGCTTTTGACTTCAACACAAGTGCAACACGTGTATAAATAATAATGGCTTTCACTGCACTAAATGTTGTTTTTTGAGATCTCATTGTATTTTTCTTGAGGTATCAGCTTTGCATTTTAATACAAGTGAACTAAATGCAGCAGTAGGGACACGTGCATCGAGCTTCAATGTCCTCAACATTTGAAGACTCTGGCGCCACCCAAAGGCTTGATGTAGAACAAGGCCACCACTAACAGCAACCTAGGCTTTAGTAACAGGTTCTCTTTAAAACTAAGGGTGTTTTCACATATAGTCCTTTTCAAACAAACCAAACTCAGTCCTCTTTCTGCTCCCACTGTAACATATATATAATATATATTGACATAGTTTTGTTTTAATTTTGACATGGCACTGCAGTGTGCTTATGAAGCCCCTCACTTTCAGATTAACTTAAAATAGGAGGAAAACCTTAGTGTTTCTGTGCTGTAGATTGCTGCCCTTTGATGTATTCTACATTTCACATCTGGAGACGTGCAGTATCTTTGGTGGACCAAACTACTCCTTGTCCTGCGTCCTTGCAAACGTTACAGGTCGGCGTGGTTTGGTCTGTTTTTTCAAGTGTCCCAGTGCAAAAGCATGTGATCTAGATAGCTAAATGCAATGGCAAAGAGCAAAGCGAACCTGGAGCATTCTGTGTTCACAAGGCACAGGTTAAATGAACTTCAGAGGGGTCTGAGTTCTCTTGGAGTGTTCACATATGCCCAAAAAATGCTTAGTCACCGCTCTGAGTCCAAAAACACCCTAAGAGAGCCAATCTAAGTACATTAAATGAACTTGAAGAAGCCATCGATGACAAAGAAACACTCACCATTCAATTGACTTTAATTGAAAAATGTTAAAGTACAAAAATACTTCATGTTTGTGATATTCAGTTCTGTAAATGTCACAATTAATGTCAATGAATGCATATTCCAAGTAGAGTTCAGGTTTACAGCAGTCATGTCAAAATAAATGACTGTTAAATTACATTTATCCAGTCGCAGAAATATAAGATTCACAAAGTAAAAGACTATTTTTACAGTGAAGTTTAAATAGTTTTGCAGACGTAATACATTCTATTTGACATGTGGTGTTAACACAATAAATAACAGTGGACAAATTCACACAGACAGAGGAGCAGAATATCATTACATAAATTATTTCATAACTTTACAAGGTATGAAAAATAATTATTTGTGATACGTTAGACGGGTCCGTTTCATGAGCGCGAGGATCTTCGTTCAAAGCCAGAGGTGTCTCCATTATTTGTCAGACCGCCACTCACCTTGTCCTGTGTGACCCAGACAGGAAACAAGTGATCAATACACAATAATTCACATAGTAAGAACACTGTGAGACCGCGGCTGTTAAGACAAACTCACCTTCACATTGCCGACCATTTCCTCAAAAGACTTGAATGTAGAGGAATGTCTGCAGAGAAATGTGAAGACAAATTACACATAACATTTAATAATTACTTTGTCTCTAAATCAAAACTACATGAACTTGAACTCTGTGTTTTTGAACACATAAATAAGCATTAAATACAGGATTACAGTGACGTTTTACCTCATACTTGGCACACTCATGGTGTGGCTCAGGGTGCTGGGTGTCACAATGGAGAGGCAGAAGAGAAAAGAGAGTTTCAACATTTAAGTGATAAGCAAAGCTCAAAAACATTGTGCAAAATCAGCAAATACATAAAACCACAAGCCTTATTATATACTCTAATTTTTATACTGAGCAAGGTGAACACAGACATTTTACTATTATGCACATACAAGTAGGTGCAAAAACTGTATATACCATAAAAGTTCAATTAATAGCCCGCGCTATTAAGTGCTGAAATCACTGAACTCAACAGTCCTATATTTGGGACTGGCTTTTAAGTCCTTTCACACAAAGCTGTTGCACAGCAAAGATCAGAAATACAATCAAATTGTTTTAGTAACACCAGAATTAGGCTTTGAATAACACATCAATTATGAGTCATTCATTTGATCTAACTGCATTTTAACTAATTAGTTTTACGCCACTTGAGGATTACAGCACCTGGCATAGCAACACAACACCACCATATCCTGTTAAAACAATACTCACAGCTTGGATTAAATTTATGAAAAACCCTTTTGATTCCTTTGATGGAATATGAATACCTTTGTGAGTAATCAAGGAATGGACACATACTCTGACTTTATGACAGCTTCAGAGGTAGGGAGTTACCAGGCCGGTAAATCTCAATGAATTACTGTCTTCTTTGATGCTCATACTGTAGTTTCAGTAAAATGAACCCAATGATTGAATTGTAGAGAAACTTCTTGAGCTAACAATATGTAGCATCTCCATATTGACAAGTTTAATTTATTATCTGTATGTGCGATAGAAGCACCTAACTAACTTTAGCTCAAGGGGTGCGCCAACAACCTGTTTTATATATCCAAAGAACGTGGAACTTGCCAAGCTGCTTGGCAACCAAACCAGGTGTCTAATTGAGGTGTTAATTTATCAAAATGTGAAGCCACACTGGGCTAGTAAAAGAGATTGAAGAGATCTATCTATCTATCTATCTACACACATTTATATATGTGTATGTAAGCAATAATGCACAACAACATACAGTATACAATGTCTATATGACAACTAAGGTCACAGGTTTCTCTCAGTCAGGCCACATCAGCACTTATAGATTAATTTGTCACTTATTTTTATGATATTAAGAACTTCAGTATTCCCACATTGGAGCAAAAATGCCCCTTAACAATTTACCAGAGCTCAATGTGACATTTTGAAATGACGGAACAGTTAAAACCTACGACATGCACTTTACTTAAAAAGATACTAAAGTAAGAAAAGCAGAAAACAGAAAATATTTAGTATTTTTCTGTCATATATGACTTAATTAATTGAGTTCTAAAATTCACTAATGGATTAATAACTTGTGATTTTGTGTTTCATACAGCAGTGATAGAAGGTAACTTATTAAATTTACTCAAGTACTGTAGTTAAGAACAATTTTGAAGTACTTGTACTTTACTTAATTGCTTACTATTATTCAGAGGAAATAATGTCACTTTTATCAATATTACACTTGTAATATTACTTGTACTCCACTACATGTATTTCATAACAGTAGTTACTCGTCACTTTGCAGATTCAGGTTATCAATTCAAAATATAATCAATTTATAAATTATGATGTGTTATTACAGATTAGGACACTCAGCAGTATATAAAGCAGATGGAATTAGCTCCAGCTTTACCAGCTGTGACATAAGTGATGCTAACACATTTATGCATCACTAATTTTAATCCAGTGATATTATACATTAGTCTGAATGGGCCACTCTACATTATAAATACTTTAACATTTGGTACTTTAAGTATATTTTGGTGCTAAAATGTATGTACTTTCACTTGAATGCAGGTTTTTGTACTTGTATTTCTACACTCACTCACACACACACACACACACACGCATGCACACACACACACACACACACAGACACAGACACACACACACAAGGGTTCATTCAGCACCCACTTCAGACCCTTCAGCCTCACAGCAATGATCTGAGTTGAATCTTACCGTGGTGGGCTGGGAAGAGGCAGAGCTCTGTAGAGATAAAGACAGACACACAGATAACGTCACACCAGCTTCTGTTTCCATGTCGATGACAACAACAGACTTATCAGCTACTGCTGTCGACGTCCAGAGGTACGACTGTGATTGGATTACGGCTGATTACTTGCTATACAAAAACACGAGACAGCAGGGCTGCGAAGTTAAAGGGATACTCCACCCAAAATCTGGTTTAAGCTTCAAAACACTCATATTTCACATCAGCATCAGTGGTTAACAGTTACTAAGTACATCTACTTAAATACTGAAATTAGTGATAGCTAGTGTGTATATATGTGTGTGTGTGCGTATTAATATACAGTACAGGCCAAAAGTTTGGACACACCTTCTCATTCAATGCGTTTTCTTTATTTTCATGACTATTTACATTGTAGATTCTCACTGAAGGCATCAAAACTATGAATGAACA